CTTACATACTATCGCATATAATAATCTCTAAAAACTAGAAAGGGAGTTGGGTTTACATATACCACAACCATACGAACGTTTACACCATTACACGCAGATCTATCCAAATTTGATGATATGTGTAATCTTACTACATCGCGTCATAATTTTCATTATTTTCACTTTGGCATTGTGGAGAACGTTTTCTTTAATATTTCATTATTGATGTTTAATCTATTCCAATTGTCCCATTCCGTTCCAACCATTCATAAGGGGGTATCTATACTTCTTTAACCAAAAACGCCTTCTTAAAAAATTCCACCTTTTGTCATTCCAGCATAATCATTCCCTGATGCTCCTGAATTCGCCGAACCTACTCTTGATTGGAGCAGTTCTGGGGGTTTGCAATGTCCCTCTGGCACTTGTAGATTGATAACGTACAGATGCAGCAACTCTTCTTCGAGAGGGTGTAGCCATGTATCCAGGGGTTATTGGATTCAAGACAGCCGGTCTCCTCTCAATAGCCGGTCGCTTTTCGTAAAGTCTTCGTGAGATTTCATCCATCTCAACTTCATCTCCAAAATCTGACCAATTCTCTGCTGTCTCAGTTCCAGGAGGTGTGCCATCCTCCACGATTGGTCGCTGATTCGCAGTTCGCTTTTGCCAGTGATGAAGCATCTTTCTCTGACCCCTCCTTGTGCTCCTATCGTGCACTTCCTTTGCAGTGTTCGCCCTAGCTTTTGCTTGGATCGCCTTCAATCTCCATTTTCGAAGCGCCTCGGATTGATTATGCTCCTGGTGGTCAAGTGTTGCCTCAATATTCAACACTTGTAATGACTCGGTGCGATTCTTCCATCTATTGAAGAATTTCCTCATGACCATCTCTTTCCAAAGGGGTTCATATTCGGCTACTTCATCCGTTCGAGCTCTCCATTGGTCAAACTTGTCCATACCTATGATGTATGTTTTACCTTGGGCGAACTGACCAGCCTGCTCATTCAATGCCATTTTCTCTTGTGCCTTGGCGCGCCAACAAGAAAACCATCTTCTTGCAATAGCGTATTTTCTGTTTCTTCGAACTTTGATATATGCTTGTTTACGCTTTTCTCGTTTCGCCTTAAATGTTGCGTCTCGCCACGCGTACAAAGCCGTCCTCATTAGGAAGAATTTTCTGCATCCGCGAGCGGTCTTATTATTTATGGCGATTTTCTTCATCTTCTCGCGCATAGAATCGAAACTTTCACCTAGAATTCGTGGAGCTTGAAGTTCCGTTGCTTGGGCTTCAAAATCGGCCTTTTCATCCATTCTTGCATACCAGCATTTGAGGACAGACGTTGCTAGGTTTGTGTTGTCGTAACGTCGAGCCGTCTCTTCGCGTTCCCAGCGTCTGCTTCGTGTGTCTTGAGCCCTATCGAACCAGACTTCCAAGCATGCAAATTTTATATCTTCCTCCCTCTGTGCCTTGGCACCTTTTAACTTTGTCTGCAATTCCCAGATTTTGAAGGCTTTGGCTACAGCACGGCCTTCTGAAATGGCCTGTGATATCTTCGCCCTGGTCTGATGTCGCCATTTGGTAAATGCTTCACGGAGGATCTTGGCACGATCGATCTCTGTAGCTAGTTTCTCTTTCTCGGCACGTTTTTTCCAACTATGCAAAGCGCCTTTGAGTACGCCTGCATTGTGGCCACCCTGTACCCTTCTTCTAGCAGGGGCTGTCTGAGCTTCGCGGTGCCATTTCTGCATGTTATCGGCTTTTTTCTTCGTTTCGGCTATAATCTCGGCTTCCTGGTTGAGTGCAACTTGTTTTACCGTCTTTTGTTTCCAAGTTTTCATGGTTTTCTCAACCGCCTTCAGTAAATTCTCATCATCTGCTAGCTGGGTGGCTTCGGCTACAGCTTGTGCCTTTTCTACCCATGTCGACAAAGCCCGTTGCTTATTCCTTTGCTCGACTTCTTTGGAAAAATCTTTTACTTTTTTCTTCTCGGCCATCTTTGAAAAGACTCGCTCAAGCATGTTGCACTTGTCAACTTCAGCAGCTTCCAGTTCATCCACCTCGATTTTTTCCTTCTTTGCTTTCCATTTGCCGAGGAATTTTTTCAGTTGGACTTGTCGAGCTTTTTCCTCGCCCAGCTGGACTTTCTCCTCACTCTCCTTCGTGTGAGACTTCCAGGCCTTGAAAGTGCGTGACCTCATCATTTGTCTTTCTGCCGCTTTTGTGGCTTCAACTTTGTCTCGAGCTATCGCCAACCAATGGGTGAAAGCCTTCTCCTTGAGATGATCATTTCTGCACGACACGGCTCTCAATCCGATCCTTGCAAATTTCTTTCCCTTCGCCCGGAATCTCTGCTCAAATTCCAATTCAGCTCTCTCAGCTTCCAGTTCAGCAAGACGCGCTTTTTCGGCATCTTTCTGAGCCTTATAAAGCCTTGCTTGTTGAGCTTCATGTATTCTTTGTTCATGAAGTCTCTGCTCAGCCTCCAATTGAGCCTGATAAGCAAATTCCTGCCTCTCCTGTTCATCGAGGCGTTGCTGTTGCTGCGCCTGAGCTTCTAGAAGTAGCTTTTGTGCCTTTTTGGCCCGGATTTTTTCCAGCCAGCCAGACAGTGCTTGCTCCTTCAGAGCGTTGTTGTTGTTCTTCATTGCAACAGCTTTCGGTTCAGATTCTTCGGCTTCCAATTGAGCTTGATAGGCAAATTGTTGCTTCTCTTGCTCTTCTTGAAGGCGTCGTTCTTCCCGAAGGCGTTGCTCTTCTTGAAGTTGTTGCTCTTCTTGAAGTTGTTGCTCTTCTTGAAGACGTTGCTCTTCTTGACGACGACGTTGTTGTTGTTGCGCCTGGGCTTCCAGCAGCAATCGTTGAATTTTTTTAGCCCGAGCTCTTTCGAGCCAGCCAGACAAGGCCTGTTCTTTCAAGGCGCCGGTATCGTGCTTCATAGCTACAGCATTCAGCTTCGCTTTTCGTTCTAGACGCTCTCTTGCTTGATCTCGCCATGAAAGTAGCTTTCTGATCACCAAATCATCAAGATAATGTTCCTTGATGATTTTCGCTTTTTTGTTTTGTTTGATTACGTGTCGAACCCATGGGTTATTCAAATCGAATACTTCGCTCGCATCATAGAATTCCTCGTCGTTCTCTTCCTCTTCTAACTCCTCAAATGAGTCATGAAATTGCTCTTCGCCGTCTTCGTCGTCGGATTCGAGCTCTTCAACCTTTTGCTCCTCTACTTCTTGTTCTTCGACTTTTTGCGCTTCATCTTCCTCAGCTTCCGAAGGGGTGGTCAACTCGTCGCTGACGTCTTGATATTCGTATGTGGTGTTGTTTATGGGAATGCGACCGAGTGGACGGCCCCTCGGAGCACCTCTCTCTGGGCGTCGATTAATTGAGCGAATGCTGCCATGTGCAGAAATCGATCTGCTCTGACTGCGAGGCGACCCACTCTCACTGGCTTCAAGCCAATTTCTAACATTGTTTATTCCACGTTCTTCGCGCCCTTTTTGGGTGGTTCTAGGTGGTTGCGGTGTAGGTTCTGGGATAGGTTCCGGTGATGGTGCGCGAGTAGCTTCCGAAATGAAGCTCTTCAGTTCATTTAATTTTGCGGGTGTGGCAGGCCCGAGAGGCAGAGGAGAGACTGATTTATTCCTTTTATGTTTTGGCTCTTGTGGTGGAGCTTGTGCCTGAGCTGCAATCCCCAGATCCAAGACGCCTGTCTCTGAATTGCGTCGTGGTAATGGTGATTCATTCTCATCGTTGTAGAGAGTGTCGCTTTCTTTATTATCTGCGACAATTTGAGAAGTAACTTTGTTACTTCGTAGATAGTCATGTGTATCGTAATCGAATTCGAGAGTAATGCCTCTTTTGGCCAAACATTCTTCGAATTTGTCGAAGAGTGTGCCGGTGGGTTCTCCAGTGACACCGATTTTGAATATGAATCTGAAGTATCGACTGTCGTGGTCGGGGTGAATTCCAAGGTCAGGTAGGAATTCATAGTATGCTTTGGCGAGTGCTAATGTGGGGAGTCTATCCTTCGGAGGTAGAGTGGGTAAGAGATGTTGTGCGCGAACGACGATATCATGTAAAATAACCAAATCTATGAAACATGTTAGCATTAATCATTGCGCATGCTCAATTGAATTGAAACACACCCTCATCAGTATAATAAGGTTCATCAGTGGTGGTTGTCCAACTGTATGATTGACCGCCGTCATAAAGGGACGGAAGTGACAAAGGAGACATGGGACCTTATCAAAAGGGCATATACGTGGGAAAGTAGGATTGTTATAATTTGTACATACAGTATCGCGTCTTGGCGATAAAACAGCAGTCAAAAGCGAAAAAAGGGAAAAGAAAGGTACAGCAGGGGTATACAGCAATTAAACTGGGAATGAGAATGAGAATTGGAATTGCAAAATTTCTTTGGAGCTTTTGATATCTGAATTTGTGAATGTACGACGCGGGCTGAAGAGAGGAACATGATTTCGCGACTTTGGGTGGATGGGAAGTATGAAATGGAATTGTCGGACGCGACGAGAATAAAGTTTACCGGTCGAATTTTGGTGCTGAAGCTTTCTGGCGCTAATCGAAGCTAAGTGACCCTGTATTTGAAGCTAAATCTAGCGAGCTTGGACTACCGTACTTTTGATTGGCTCGATAACATGTCTTATCGTGATGACTAATCATAGGATCTATCGAAATCGAAATCCGTCCTTTTTGACTTCTACCTGGTACTCGTAGCATCATGTACTAATGAATTGTCATACTAGGTAATATCTGAACTCTGTCAACACAGATCATAATTCTTACAGTCTTCACTACAACATCACTCATAGCAAACACCAATTAAAATACCATCTTGAGCGTACCTTTCCCAAATACCACCAAAAGTTCACGTGCTTATTATTATTAGTCTTCACTGATAAGTACCTACCTAGGTACTGGTGCCTCACTACTTTCTTGCCTCACTCACCAGCCACTCAACTACTATCACCGTCACCAAATACACAACAATTTTATATCCTCCCAAACCATGCCTCCACGAACAACTCAAATAAGGCCAATTGAGAAGTTTGCACAAGCCGTTGCCAAATGCTCTACAGAGGTACGTTTTGATCTGGTTTTTTCTATCCACTTTGATCCCGCTTCATATGATTCGCCTTTCAACCTCCATCCCGCTTCAAACCTTACCCCTCCATACAAACATACATTATTCGCCTCTACAACCTCCCCATTATTGGCCACAACCTATCCATCATACATTGATCCCCTGCCTTTATCCTTCACGCTGTTAATCTCCTGAATACCTTGCACCTTTAAACTTTCGTCTCCACAACCCATTACTGTCCCTCTCATCACCACCTCATCAAAAACTGACAACCCCAATCATAGGCCTCCCTATACGGCAAATGCATAGTAGCCGATTACAATTCTGTTCACAAAGACAAATGTCTTACTGAATTCATGAAATTGAAGGATTGTTATTTGGTACGTGTATTCAACTCATATTTTCACCAGTACTGTTCATGACTTATAATTATTCAGATTGCCGCGAAGAAGAAGTAAAGTAGATTTGTTCATCTATATTTTTTAAAGAGGAAATTTCATTCATTCAAGAGCCGTATACTATCTGTCGTCTTATTCAATTAAAATGTGTACTTGTTTGCATCGCTGTATGTGAAGTTTTATGTCATAGTTTTGAACGTATTCAAAGCAAAGTTTGGTATATGCACAGCATATTGTCACGCCTGCTGCCACCTCTAGTGTCTGAAGCAACTGAGATTATTCCAAACGTATTCTTGAGTTCTCAGTAATTTTCACATTTTCATGAACACATTCTTTCGCCTAATTTCGCGAATTTATATATGAAATGAACAGATCCTATGCAATGACTCTCGTGCTTTCATGAAAGGGTGTATTTGTAAGCCAGAAAGATAGATATCTAGAATGTCTGTTTATACCCGAATTTTTTCTATGAAACATCAAATTATAACTTCAACAATCTGAGCGAAAATGTAGCTTTTTGGATCTCCTGTTCCTCTTCCAGAATGACACTCTCTTCTGCTGCACTTCCTTCTGCTTCGTTCAAAGGTCTTCGCAATGCTTTCTCAATGGCCTGTGCTTGGCTAGCGAAAGCTTCACGTAGACCAATACTCGAAGGATCTTCTAAGACCTTGTACTCCATCTTGATATCATCTGTTGGTTGAAGACCAGCCTTCTTACGCAATCTTTGCACACGATTGATGATCTCGCGACCCAATGCCTCATCTGCAAGATCTGCATGGAGTTCAACATCTAAGATAGTAAGAACATCCTCGTCTGTATTGGTCTCGAGGTTCTTGGAAGATTCATCATCCTTAAGACCTCGCTTGACAACCAAATCACCCTCTTCGAGCTTGATACCATCGACAACAATTGATTTCTCTAACACGTAGTTGTGAACTTGCTCACTAGTCAATCCTGGCAAAGCCTTCTTGACCTTTTGAACTTCCTTCTTCAACTTCTTTCCAAGAACTGGCCAATCAGCATTAACACTGTATTGTACGTTGTACTTCGCTTCGTCCGAGGTGAGGATGAGTTCTCTGATATTGAGCTCCTCAGTAATGTAGCCTTCTAAAGAACGGACGTCTTCAAGATAAACTGGGTCGTGATGGATGACAATCAAAGTTTTCAGAGGGGTCTTGAGACCAATTGTGCGGCGTTCTCTGGAAACTCTGCCCAACTCAATAACACGTTGCATGCGACCTACACGGCGCTCAACCTCTACATCAAAGAGTTCCTCTCTCACATCTGGGAAAGCTAAGAAGTGAACACTTCGTGGATCCTCAGCTTGCAACTCCTTGGGAATATGAGGTAACAGACGTTGATAAATGTTGTCTGTGAGGAATGGTGTGAATGGAGCAAGTCCTCTTGTTAAGGTAAAAAGGACTTCAAAGAGGGTGTTAAGTGCGTGCTTAGTGTCGTTTAGACCAGATTCACCCTTTAGACGTCTACGATTGAAACGAATGTACCAATTTGTGGTATTATCAATGAGATCCAGTAATCTGGGAACGACAGTGTACAGACGGTAACCTGAATTTATTAGTTATCACTCACAGAAGAAACTTTGAAGGATCGACTCACCTGCCATCTCCTGATTGACAAACTTCAGAAGACTCTGACAACTAGCAAGAATCCATCGATCCATGACGTTGGTGTTGGTAGCTTCGGCAGTAGGATCGAATACATAATCAACGTTCTCCATCTTCTTAAGCAATGCTACCTGTCCTTCGAAAAACTTGTAGCTGTTCCACAAAGGCAAAAGAACCTTGCTCACAACTTCCTTAACTCCAGCTTCCTTGAAACGCAATGGCTCAGCTCTTACGACTGGGGAATTGATGAGATACAAACGCAAAGCATCGGAACCATATTTGTCCATGACAATTCCAGGATCAGGATAATTCTTCAAGCGCTTTGACATCTTCTTGCCGTCTTCTGCAAGCACGATTCCGTTGACAACACAGTTCTTAAAAGGTGAAACGCCGAATAAATGTGTACCCAAGACAAGAAGGGTGTAAAACCATCCTCTAGTTTGATCAAGACCTTCCGCAATGAAATCACCAGGGAAAGATTGCTCAAATTTATCCTTGTTCTCGAATGGATAATGTTGACTGGCATATGGCATACTGCCAGACTCAAACCAACAATCAAAGACCTCCTCAATACGTTTGAGTTGGCCTTTACCCATCTTACTTGGGATAGTGATGTGGTCAATCTTATCTCTGTGGAGGTCGGTAATTTCGCCTTCGTAACCACTGAGCTCCTTCAACTCGGCGATACTGCTGATGCATACCTTCTCTTCATAATCGTCACTGACCCAGATTGGGATTGGAGTTCCCCAATATCTATTTCTCGAAACATTCCAGTCACGGGCATTTTCAATCCAACTAGCGAAACGCTTTTCCTTGACAAAGGATGGAGTCCAGTGCGAACCTTCAATATTCTTCAACATATCAGGAACAATTTCGGGAATTCTGATGAACCAAGAAGGAACAACTCGGTAAATCAATGGTGTGTCTGATCGCGGACACATAGGATAACTATGCTTAATAGAGGATTCGACAACTAGACGCCCAGTTCCCTTCAGATATTTAATGATGGCTTTGTCGGCTGCTTTGACATGAAGGCCAGCAAAATCCCGAACTTGCTCGGTGAAGTGACCGGTCTCATTGATTGGACATGGAGCTGGTCGCTGCTCGTTGATGATGCCGGCTTCCATTGCGACATTGTAATCTTCCTCTCCGAAAGCTGGTGCTTGATGAACAATACCAACACCACTGTCGTCGGTGACGTATGCAGCGTTCAAGACCTTGAAACCATGCTCCTTGAATTCTTCATAGAAATAGTCAAAAAGCGGCTCGTATTGCCAACCAAGCATATCTTTACCCTTGATTTTTTCCACAATCTTGAACTTGGCTTTCTTAGGGTCCTTGTATAGTGTACCGAGCAATTTCTCCAACAAGATATAGTTCTTTCCCGAGGCTTCGTCGTGAATTTTGACGTACTCGAAATCTGGATGCGCGGCTAAACCAGTGTGCGATGGAAGGGTCCAAGGAGTGGTTGTCCATGCCAAAAGACATGTTGAGGGGTCCTTCAATAATGGGAAAGATACGACAACTGCAGGATCAGTGACATCTTGGTAGTTTTGATTTGCTTCAAAATTACTCAAAGCTGTGGTGAGAACTGTCGAGTATGGCATGACTCGGTAGCCTTGGTAGACAGATCCCTTCTTGAAGATTTCACTAAATACCCACCACTCTGATTCCATGAACTTGGGGTCCATTGTCTAAGATTGTCAGCTTGAAGATACCAATCCGCTTCTATAAAGACCTACCTTGTAGTCGTTATCAAAATCGATCCAACGGCCCAATCGGTCGATTGTCGTGCGCCATTCCGACGAGTATCGCATAACAATAGCTCTGCACTCCTCATTGTATTTTGCCAGCCCCATCTTCATGACAGCATCCTTTCCAGAAATACCGAACTTTTTGTCAATCTCGTGTTCGATCGGCAAGCCGTGTGTGTCCCATCCGAAACGTCTCTCGACATGGTAGCCCTTCATTGACCAATATCGAGGGATAATATCCTTGATGGTAGATGCGAGTAAGTGACCATAATGAGGTAAACCAGTCGCGAAAGGAGGTCCATCATAAAAGGTATATCGAGGCTTTCCCTCAGAAAGTCTACAAGGAAAATAAACAATGTCAGGACATATTGATTTTGTTTACATTTGTGGCAGGTTGACTTACTCGAGTTGTCGCTCGAAAGCGTTAATCTCCTTCCACTTTCTGAGAACTTCTTCTTCCTCTTTTGGGAAATCCATATTTGCTTGTGTTTGAGTTATGGAAAGTCTCAAGAATGTTAGAAGGAGTTTCCTGTGGATATAAATTTGGCGGGGTCGAAACGAGGGGCGGGCACCGAATTTCGTATGAGTCAAAATTGATTATCACTTAGCCAATCAAACCTGGTGGCATCGAGGCTGTCAGTCAGCCTTGCGTAACATCAAGCGCTAAACCCTTTGATGGCCAAATGTTTCACCACCCAATTCATCGCCGTAACTATTGATTCTAACCCTCCGGAAATGGACGGCAAAGTAATCACACCAGACGGCTCGGTTTATTGCATGATCTTCATCTTCATGTGTTCAACCAAGATCTGATCAATCATCATGTTAGTAATCATGATACATGGAGTCCGAATTCAGCCTGTGATAGTTCTCAGGTTACGAATCCAACCAGTACGACTGATTTGAAAAGCATAATATCCCGAGATAGTCTGCCTAGGCGTTCCATTTTTTCTGCCAAGGGTGTTTGGTTGGGTATCTTGTCTTGTTCTATCACGGATTGCCATACCCTTACTTCCGGATAGGTATTTTCTGATCATATTTCATTGTTCCAAGCTTCAGCTGCACATTGGCATCAATTTGGTGATATCATTGATTACAAAACCGTACTAAACAGCATGGTCTGATATAGTGAGTATAAGTACCTAGGTATATATAGGTGTGCGGAAGCTCAGATATCTCAATGTGCTGAATTGTTTTGAATATTCGTGTTGATGCAATGGCAGTTCTCCAGTCTTTGTTCAAGTTATTTTGCTTTCAGGCACTCCTCTCCACTGCTGCCACTTTCCAGACAGTTCAAAGTTATGATTATATGTGAGTTATTGGAGGTCTCCCATGTCGTCATGTAAATTGACCCCGTCTAGCATAATTGGTGGCGGCACAGCCGGCCTAACCATAGCGAGCCGTCTGAGTGAAGATCCCCAAACTTCTGTGCTTGTTCTAGAAGCTGGGGCGGATCACTCAAGTGATATTAATGTACTTGCGCCTGGTCTATATACCGGCATGTATAGCAATCCTGAGTATGACTGGAACTACAAAACTGTCCCTCAAGTAGGTTCGATATTATTTTCCCTCACGAGGAGTAAACCTTGACAACTTCCAAAGATACACGCAAACAACCAAGTTATAGCCCACCCAAGAGGCAAACAACTTGGAGGTTCGAGTGCTATAAACTTCCTATATTGGACGCATGCCTCTCAACAAGACATCAATAGCTGGGGCGAGCTTGGAAACGCGAACTGGTCATGGGAAGCCTTAGATC